CTGCTGCCAATACTGTACTGCAAGTCAGTCGTATAGATTCAAATGTGTTTATTTTAGTGTCGTTGGTATATGGAGGAAGAAAAAAAGAAGCGCTGATATTCAACAACTGGCAGGAAAACGCCTGAATTTAATTTGCCGTTGGAACAGAAACACATTCCAAAATTGATTTCTGGCTTGAAGTCCTCTGGCAGGTGTAATGAAACATCGTGCTTAGCAAGGAGGGAGACTGCATTTCATCGCAGGAGCTATTAATGTGTTGTACTTAATTGCCAAAGTTTGGCAAAACATCAGAAAGAGCAGGACACATAAAAAACAGAGCAAGAGGCCGATTTGACAGGGGAGGTTTCTCTTGAGAGGGCTCCCTGCTCGGCCACTGAACTCCCTGCCAGTGCTATGCGCCATCCTCAGGACTGCATAGCAGAAGGCAGGTGTCATCGTGAAGCAGGCAGAGGCGCGGCTGTGATGTCAGCATCCCAGGTGGATACCAGTTTGAATCCCGGCTGCTCCACTTCTGATCCAGATCCCTGCTAATGTGCTTGGGAAAGAGAAGAAAGATGGCCCAAGTTGTTTAGGCCCCCTGATGCCAACGGGGAGACCAGGAAGAAGCTCCTGGCTTTGGACCTGCGACCCTTTGGGCAGTGAACCAGAAAATGAAAGACCTCTTTCTAACTCTGCCTTTCAAACAAATAAATAAATCTGCAAAAAAAAAAAAAAATCTGTAAGTCATCACAAAGAAATAGCAGATCTGAACTTTGTGTACATAGGAGACAAGTGACTATCCGAAGAATAATGGACTGAAATAGTTGTCACAAAAACCGATTAGAAATGATTTAACTGGATCAAGTGCAGGCGAGGTCACTGATGGACTTTAAAAAAAAGTATTGGATATTAATTCATTAAATGCCCTGGCCCGCGGGGTCTTCAACAGAGACCTGGGGAGAGAACCGACGATTGGGGGGGACAGGAGACACGAAGAATGGGAGCAAGACAGGAGGTCTGATCAAGCTCCAAAAACTTTATTTTCTCAGGGAGTATTTAAGCAGCAGGTAAAGGCTGGGGGGGGGGGGAGTTTTACAGCAGGATGTGGGCCACATAGGGCAGAGGTCACCATGACAACCGTTATCTTGGGTGAACAATTACAGGTGAAAGATTATGAGGAAACTGGGTGAAAGATAACTGGATCTAGCTTTCCAAGACCATTACAGAGTGAGGAAATAACAAAATGGAGTCACTCCTGCTGTTCAGCAGTTCTCTGGTCCCCGGCAATTAAATAATATTATATTGGCTAAGAAACCAGGAGAAATCATTACAAAGTCCTTGGAAAATGTATATTATGAAAAAATTCTACAAGGATGTCACAGTATTTTGCACCAAAGTAAGCCCATCTTATTCCATTTAAACACTTTTTAAGTAGTTCATTTATTTGAGATAAAGGGAGGGAGATCTGCTGGTTCACTCCCCAGATGCCTGCACTAATTAGGGTTGGGCAAGGCTAAAACAGCTAGGAACCAGGAGCTCCATCTGGGTAAAAGGACTACAAATGCTTGTGCTGCTTCTCAGGATGCATATTGGCAGGTGGCTGGATCAAAAAGGCCTCCTTTGTGGGACAAGTGGTGGCTTAACCTGCTGTGCCACAAGGCTCATCCTTCCAGGAATTTTATTATTTTTTTTTTTTTAAAGATTTGTCTTTTATTTTTATTGCAAAGTCAGATATACAGAGAGGAGGAGAGACAGAGACAAAGATCTTTTGTCCGATGGTTCACTCCCCAAGCAGCTGCAACGGCTGGAGCTGAGCCAGTCCAAAGCCAGGAGCCAGGAACCTCCTCCAGGTCTCCCACGAGGGTACAGGGTCCCAGGTCCTTGGGCCGTCCTCTACTGCTTTCCCAGGCCACAAGCAGGGAGCTGGAAGGGAAGAGGGGCTGCTGGGATTAGAACCGGTGGCCGTATGGAATCCTGGCGCGTTCAAGACAAGGACTTTAGCCGCTAGGCCACCATGCTGGGCACCCACAAGCCTTTTGAAGGACCACTGTATGTGTATATATATATATATATATATATATATATATATATATAGTTTATTTGAAGAACCACTGTATTACAAATGTATTTTAGCCACAGACAGACCAGTGGACTGCATTGAAACAATTGGAAAATTTTCTGTGCCACTGACATTTTCTGCAACTATACACTGAACAACTTTATGAGTATCCAGTTTCATGTTCACGTTGCTGAGAAATCAAGACAATAAATACTAATGAACAATGTTGAATAAGGTTTGTTATTTTTTTTTTTTTAAGACAGAGAGGGCTCTCCCATCTGCTGCTTCACACTGCAAATGCCCTCAGCACTGGGACTGAGTCAAACCGCAGCCAGCAGTGCAGAAGGTGGTCTCGTGGCTCGCAGGGTCTCAAGTACTCCAGCCACTTTCTGGAACAGTCACTGGCTGCTTCCCTTGGTGCACACGAGCAGCAAACTAGAACTGGGACTGAAAGCCAAACTTATGATATAGGGTGCAGGTACCCCAAGTGGTAGCTTTTAGTGCTTTAAAAAATGTATTTTACTTATTTGAAAGGCCAAGTTAAGGAGAGAGAGAGAGAAACAGAGATCTTCGGTCTGCTGGTTCACTCTCCAAATGGCCACAAAGGCCAGAGCTGAGATGCTCTGAAGCTGGGAACCAGGAGCTTTCTCCAAGTCTTCCATGCGGGTGCAGGGGGTCTAAGGATTTGGGCTATTCTCTGCTGCTTTCCCAGGCACATTAGTAAGGAACTGGATGGCAAGCGGAGCAGCCTGGACTTCAACCCATGCCCAAATGGGAAACCAGCACTGCAGGCTCCAGCTTAACCCACCATACCACGGTGTCAGGCTCCCACATGGCATCCTATTGGGCACAATCCAGTCCTGGTGCTGAATGTCCTAAATGAGTAACAACTAGCAATTTAAAAAAATATGAGATGCCAAGGTAAATCTATATGATGACATTTAAATAAATTGCTTATTTATTTGAAAAGCAAAGTGAGCAGGAGCTAGGGAGAGTAGGAGATTTTTTTCCATGTTTCGATTTACTCCTCAAAGGGCTGCAACGGCCAGGTTTGGGCCAGGCCCAAGGCAGGAACCAAGACCTCCATGCTGGTCTCCCACATGGGTAGCAGGGCCCATGATCTGCTGCCTTCCCAGGAGAGTTAGTACGACATTGGGTCAGAAGCAGAGCAGCCAAGACTCAAACCTGTGTTCCTATAGGGGTGCTGGCCTCACAAGCTGAAGGTTACCCCACTGTGCTACGTCACCAGCCTCACAAGTACGCATCCTGAGAACCCAGATGAAGTTTCTGAGTTTCCTCCCCTAAAAGTTAGTTCCCTGTCCAGTTGGTTTCTCCTTAGCCCTCTCCACAGCAGTTTTCTTTTCATAGCCAACCCACAAGAGGCATAATCATAGATCAATGTCTGAATGCAAGTAAGATTTTTAAGAAAAGATTTATTTATTTTTATTGGAAACTCAGATATACAGAGAGCAGAAGAGACAGAGAAGAAGATCTTCCCTTGTTGGCTGATCACTCCTCAAGCGGATGCAATGGCCGGAGCTCAGCTGATCTGAAGCCAGGAGCCTCTTCCGGGTCTCCGACGCAAGTGCAGGGTCCCAAGGTTTTGGGCTGTCCTCGACTGCTTTCCCAGGCCACAAGCAGGGAGGTGGAAGGGAAGTGGACCAGCCAGGACATGAACCAGCACCCACATGGGATCCTGGAGGGTGCAAGGACCTTAGCCACCAGGCTTCCGCTGTAAGTAAGCTTCTTTAGATGACTTTAGCTTTTCTGTTAGTTTTTCCCCCCTTCCTTCCTCTCTTCTTTCTTCCCTCCATTCCTTCCTAGGTAGGGTGATGGGGGCTGTTAGAGGCTGAAAGTAGGAGGACAAAATTGCAGGACAAATTAATCAGCTGAATAATGTGTTAACATGTATGTCCTCGTTAGGACTCTTTAAGTTGCATAGATGTAAACTGAAATACAACATCTTCTTGCGGGAAGTTGCTGTGCCATCGTTGTTGGCTTGGCTTAGTTCCCAGAACACACTGGCTATCTCACAAATGAAGTTACTGATAGAAGTGCTTACCATGTCCACAAAGTGTGTCCAAAGTGTGTCACAAAATTATTTATCTTCATGTTATCTGAAGGTATAGAGAGCGATCTTCCATTTGCTGACGCGCGCACCAAGTGTCTGCCACAGTCAGGGCCGAAGGCAGGAGCCAGGAACTTCATCCGGTTCCCTCCTGAGGGTGACAGGACCCCAAGTACTTGAACGTGCCACTAGCAGGAAGCTGAGAAGAGCTGGGAATGGAAGCCAGGCTATCCGATACAGGATATGGGTGTCCCGAACTGTGTCCTAACAGCTGTGCCCCACACCTGGGACTCGCCTGCAGGTGAGGCGAGGCGGATGTCAGAGGACCTTGTCTGGTCGACCAGCAAGGGAGTGATACGGAATTCACTGGGCCGCTCTTCACAACAGTGACAAAGCCAGGCCTGGAACACACGGTCCCTGCGTGGGTTCACGGCATTTATTTACCAGGCATGGGTAAAGTTACCTATTTTCTTTCCTTTGGTCTCAATTCTTTCTGCCCTCACCCCCTGCTCTCAAGCCAGGTGCGTGATCTTAAATGTCATTCAACATGGTGCCACGTCATCCACCGAGGCCCAGAGGCTAGAGGCGCCGTCGCAGCTCTCCCCAGCGTGGCTCCGTGCGGCGCCCGGCCCTGCGCCCCGCACCTGCCCCGGAACCGACCCCGGCACCCCGGTGGCCAAGCCCGGGCCCGGGGCCCCCGGTGCGCGCGCGCCCCCTGCGACTCCCCCGCCGCTCCCCGACCCCGGCCGCCTGGACCGCTCGCATTTGCATATTCCTACCTTTGTTCCCGGCCGGCGGCCAATCAGCGCGCGAGGGCGAGGCGTGGCGGGGCGGGGCCGAGGCCGGGGCCGGCGCGGGCGGCTGCGGCTGCGGCGGCCGCAGGTTCCCTGGTGCGCCCGGGCGGAGCGGCGACCGAGCGGTGTGCGCGCCGCACAGTGCAGCCTCGAACCCGCGCCGCCGCGGGCAGGGCCCCTGGTTCCGGGCTGGGATTCAGCGGCGGCTGCCGGCGGACCACGAGGAGCCACCATGGTGTGCGGGGGCTTCGCGTGCTCCAAGAACTGCCTCTGCGCCCTCAACCTGCTTTACACCGTGAGTGACCCGGGGGAGGAAGGGCGGCCGTGGTGTTGGTGGTGGTGGGGCCGGTGGGGCCGCTGCACCTGCCCGCGTCCCCGCGTCCCCCTGGCCGGTGCCCGGCGCTGGCGCCTGCCGCAGTCGCCGCCTTGGCTTTATTGTGCGGAGGCCGCTCCACACCCCGCCCCTCACCCCACGCTCTGCGCTCTCTCCCCGGGCTCCCGGCTGGACCTGCCCACGCTCGCGGCCCCAGCCTGCTGCCTGCTGCTGGGATTGGGTTTGCCGGCAGAGGCGAGCCGCTTGGGGCGCGGGGTGGGCTCGGGGACTTTTAAACATTTTTTTTTTTTTTTTTTTTTTTTTTTTTGCAAATCGGTGCGGTGATACCTGGGCCGGGCGCGGTACGGGGAGCCCTCCAGGCCCAGGCCTGCGAGTGGGATCCAGGCCTCCGGAGCGCACGCTTCCCAGGCCTGGGGTGTCCACTGCTGCCCAAGTTTGTTTCGGGGGGCCTTACTGAGAGGGGACCGGGTTTGTTTATGGCGGTTGGGTCCCCTCTCCCCCATTTCTCTAGTCCCAGCCCCCTCCCCCGCCCCCATCCCCCTTCCTCACCACAGAGGCGAGCCTGCGCAGGTCCCTTTGTGAGAGCGAGCTTTGGGGGGAGAGGATAGGGAGGGTGGACAGGTGCCACGTGCAGGTCCCTTTGTGCGAGCCAGTTTTGGGGGCAAGGATGCGGTGGCAGATGGACAGGTACCACGTCCTACCAGAGGCAACTGTTCAGCGAGGGGAGTCTTTCCTGACTGCCCACGGCTGGCAGGATGGCTGTGGAAGCCCCGTTTTTCCTTAGGTGACCCCAGCTGGCAGAGCAACAGCCTCATTTGGCCTCTTCCGTCCACCCACCCTGGGCCTGCGCTCTTCTTTATAAATGCACCTGCTGCCTCGCACCCCCACACTGAAAACCAACCCAGCTCCCCCGCGTCAGCCAGGGGTGGGGAAGGAGGCCAATGGTGCCAGCTTGGGTTACAGCCCCGCGCGGCAGAGGCGTCCGTGTGGTCTCTGCAGGAGAGAAAGAGGAGGGTAACGTCACCGCTACTGCCTCCCCCACCTCCCCCTTCATTTTATTGTATTGCTTTTGGATGAGAAGATGGCTGAATCCAGCCCATGGGGTCATTGATGTCAGATTAAGGGGAGGGCCGAGATCCTAATCTTGGGAGAGGCGCCTCCGGGTCCACCTCACCTCAGGCCTGCTGATGCTGCCGTTGATAAGCCAGTGGCTGGCCAAGTGGCCTAGCGTCTTCTCTGACCTGTTGTCCTGAATGACAGGCTTCGATCTGCAGATCCCTCATTCTTGCCCCCTACTTCTGAAATAGTCCACCTGTCACAGAGTCAGTCAACATTTCACCGTGTATTTCCATCCGCCAGTGTCTGTTAGAACACACGACATGTTGACGCAGCAGAGTGAGCTGGCTTGCAAGTCTGTGTCCTGTGCTATAGACACGCAGAGTACGTATATACACTCCATGTGGCTATGTCAGTAGGTATGGAAAGGCAGGCTATTTTTAAATCAAGTTCTGTTGCTTTTTAAGATGGATTGTTTTGGGGCCAGTCTTGTGGCTCAGCAGCCAACGTTGCCAGTGACCCCAGCATTCCGTGTGAGCACCAGTTGGAGTCCCAGCTGTTCCACTTACCATCCCACTCCCTGGCAGCAGGCCTGGGAAGGCAGTGGATGATGGCCCAAGTGTTTGGGCTGCTGACATCCATGTGCGAGACCCAGATGCAGTTCCAGGTTTCTGGCTTTGACCATGGCTGGAAATGGTTACAACCATTTGGGGAATGAGTGGATGGAACTGGTGGACCAGATGTCTGTTTTTCTTTCCGTAACTCTACCTTCTAAATAACAGGGATGTTTGGAAAAGATATTATCATTTCCAGTTTATTTACAGTGTACCAGGAAATTGAGGAGATGGAAGAGGGATTCCTAAGGGACATATTAAGAGGGCCTGATTCCTATTCTGAATGACAAACCTTCAGAATGTATTCGTATTGATCTTAATAGCACTCAGTGAAGCTTCATTAATTGGAAGTTCATGAGACTATAAAGATGGTTAGTTACCCCCTTTCAATCAGAGACTTTTTAGACAAAGGGGCGTTTCATAAAAGGAATTAGTGGTTATTTGCTTCTTGCACATTGTGGCTAGGGTTAAATCGGTTCAGTGGCCTACCTGGAGGTAAACGAGAGAGGACTGGACCAGATCTGAAATAGATGTGGAAAATAGGCCAGGACTGTTATCTAGGTCCTCCTGCTGCCTGCGTTCCAAGATTGGGGAGCAAAGAGGGGCATAGGTCGGGTGATGGTGGTTGGGGTGAGCTTGAACTTGAGAGCTTGAGGAGGATGTGATTAGGAGAACCTGTGCGGGTTGGAGTCCCACTTGGATGCTGCCTGGAACCCGCGTGACGTGCCAGGCGGAAGTCTGAGGTCATTGCTGAAAGTGTCAGTAACAGCAGGAGCGGGTAAGGGAGTGGCAGGGGTAAAGGCCAGGCCCTGTGCCCTGTGGTGTGCCGCCGTGGGGAGCCTGGGACCGCACCAGCCCAAGCACAGCCGCAGGGGACCTGTGATGAGCTTGCAATCTGCACTGGATGCGAGATCAGCAGGGAAGGCCGGCCTGTTGTTAAAACAAACAGGAGGGAAAGTCCCTCCACGTCATCGACTGATGACGTGGCAGAGGCTAATGGGCACCTTTTTGTTGCTTATGCCTTGGTTGCTGAAAGAACAGGAGCTTCTAGGGTGAGATTCTGGCCACTTGGAGGTGAAGAAGGGAGGAGACTGGCACATTTCTGAATGTACCTCTGTAGTGTGCAAGAGAGGCAGGGTTTGCTGTAGAACTCCCTGTATAACACGGGGCTGGCGTTATGACATAACTGTTCAAGCCACCCACCATGGTGATGCCAGCAGCCCGCACTGGAGAGCTGGTTCCAGCCCTGGCTGTTTTCCTGCCCATCTGGCTTCCTGGTAACGTCCGTGTCAGCCCACCTGGGAGACCCAGGCACTGGCTGCTGCAGCCACTTGGGAGATTACAGCAGTATATAAAAGATCTTGCTCTCTTTGTCTTCAAAAAGAACTACCTGCATAGCAATATTTAATATTTAATTACGCACTAGGCGTAGGAAACAGAGCAGGCGTTAAAATCAACATGCTTTGTTGAAGTTTCGTGTTAGTTACAACCCTTTGGACAGATGATCTCAAGCACTATATTTAGTTCACAAACATTTGTCTACTGTGTTCCTGGGGACTGTGGGAAATAACAGTTTCATCCATAGGCAGCCACCTACCCTGAGCAAATAGCATCTATTCCGAGACAGGAAGTAGGAAAATTGAACTGTGTACAAGGGATTGAAAATTGAATTGTCTGACTCTGGGTCCCCAACCTTGAGGACCGTGAGAGGTCTCTATGGGTTAGGGGAGTGGAAAGAATGCAAAAGATGCCATTGATCTAGGGATGGGAGAAGTGATGGGTGGGTCTTTTTGGTAAAGTTCAGGGTAGAAATACAAATCAAATTGATTTAGGGAAAATATTTTATGTTTTAAAGATTGATTTATCTCAAAGGCAGAATTAGGGAAGGGCAGAGACGGAGATCTTGTGCCCATAGGTTTGTTTCCCTAATGGGCACAGCAGTTGGAGCTGGCCAGGCAGAAGCCTGAGCCAAGATCCACATCCGGGTCTCCCTCAGGGGTGGCGGGAGCTGGGGCACTTGACATTTCCATCATGGAGCAGCCAGGACTAGAACTGGTGTCCATAGGGGATGGCAGCATTGCAGAAAGCTGCCTCGTGTGCTGAGCCACAACATTTTATCTTGTTTTTTTTGTATTTATATTTTATGTTTACATTTTATTTTTTATGTGAAGTTTTCAGATTGACAAAATATTCGACAAAATGTTTGACAGAGTGAGAAATTGCTTTTAAAAGTTATAGCAAATCATTGCTGGAAGATATTAAAGAAATGTGAAATGTTACATTAAAGATGCAACATTTTGAAATTCTATAACATATCTCCTTGTATGGTAACCAAAGAAGAAAGTGCTCGCTCTCTTTTTAACGTTTTTTTTTTTTTTTCCTGCCTTTTGGAAAAGCAGATCAGATTTACAGAGAGAAGGAGAGACAGAAAGATCTTCTGTCCACTGCTTCACTCCCCAAATGGTTGCAATCGCTGGAGCTAGGAGCCAGGAGCCTTTTCTGGGTCTCCCAGCAAAGTGCAGGATCCGAGGCTTTGGGCCACCCTCTACTGCTTTCCCAGGCCACAAGCAGGGAGTTGGGTAGGAAATGAAGCAGCTGGGACAAGAACCCAAATGGGATCCCAGTGCTTGCAAGTTGAAGATTTAGTCATTGAACCATTGCTCCAGGTTCAGAAGAAAGCTCTCTTTTAAAAAAAGGAAATAAAGCTGATGCAGGGTGTAGCAAGCTAATACTCTGCGAATTTTCAGTGTTGGCCTCCCCTATGGGCACCAGTTTGTGTCCTGGCTGCTCCACTTCCAATCCAGCTTCCTGCTAATGTGCCAGGAAACAGTGGGTGGTGACCCAAGTACTTGGGCCCATGACAACCATGTGGGGGATCTGGGTGGAGTCCTGGCTCCTGGCTTAGGCTGAGGCCCGGCGTTGGCCTGGCTGTCATGGACATTTGGGGAATGAACCCATGGGTGGCCGATCTCTCTGTCTCTCCCTTTCACACATATGCAGAGGAATGAATAAATAAGTCTCCAAAAGAAAAGCAAAGTTGACTTTGTTAATAGAACTAAACTGAAAAATATGACTTTTAAACGGGATACTACCAAATGTGTGTGTGTGCGCACAGAGTTTGAACTGAGGGTCAGGGCGTAATTTATAATCGTGAAACCAGGAGGGCAATTTCAGTTTTCCTATTTGCTGTCAGAATACCTTTCAAAATTTCCACCACTCTGAACATTGCTCCATCACTCTGTATCTTTGGTTCTTTCAGACAAGCTATTCATGCAGCATCAAAAAATTGAT